TTGAAAAAGTTTGTTTGAAAACTTCGTTTAACTCTTGTATCAGTCCTCAAGAGTGTCATGAAGTGTTTGTTTGAAAACTTTTGTTAGAAAAGTGTAAGTGCGAAAAGTATTTTTGTTTTTTGAAAGAGCAAGTACCCAGGAGAAATCTACCTACTCTAAGGAATTAAGCTGTGTAAATGTCCTTTAGACAGTACTATCCCACTATTGAGGAGTAGGTAGCACCGTCGTTGGAGTTATTCGGGTCAATTCGATTATAGGGACATGTGTGGTCACCAAAGCAATAGTAGGACGCGTTAGCGGTAACCCTAATGTCTTAGATCCTTTTTATCCGAGGCAACCGTTTCGAGGAAACTTGGATCTTTAGACAGGAGGGCGACCTCTAAAACACCCTATACTTAATGACCACCTCGAGGCAACCAAGTGAGGCGTACCCTAGAAGTGGCATGTGCGAGTGTTTCAGGATTCAGTTTAAGATTATCTTTGCACATGTATCATGGTGAGCTACGAGTTGATTTTAATTTTCAGGCAAGTCTTGTCATGCATAGTTAACAGTTAATAATTTGCGGAAAGTAAATTGCCGAAAGTAAATCTACGCTATTACAAGGCGTCGGGTATTTATATCGCCAAAAACATAACCCTTGAAAAGTAAATGCGAGAAAAATAAAGAAACCGATAAATACGTCCTAATTACGCTATTACATCTTCGGAGCAGTTACATAAATATGATCTAAAAATAATATGCGCGAAAATAAATTAAATCGGGGAAGTCCTTAGGGTTTTGACCCTTTTTGAGAAAAGAATGAGTTTTTGGTTATTTTGCATTAAATTAAACCTAAAACTAATTAATTAATTAATTAAAAGAAAAAAGTATTTTTTATGTTTTAATAAAAATAAAAGAAAAGAAATTAAGTCAAAAGTTAGTAAAAACCCTAATTCTAATTTATTTTATTTATTATGAAAAAGTCAAAATTAAACTTAATTAAACTAAATTAATTTGTTAGAATTTATTTACAAAAATAGAGTGAAATTAATAAATAATAATAATAATAATAAAAATATTAGTTTTCTGATTTTATTATGAAAAATAATTAATTTGTGAGTTAATTAACTAATAATAATAATAACAATTATAATTAATAAAATAATTAAATAGAAAAAAAAATAGAAAAGAAAAAGAATAAAGCAACCAGGGGGGTGATGGGCCCGTTAGGAGGTTTGTTAGCAATCTTCAAGCCCAATAGCACTCAAGCCCTTCTGACTTTCTGAGATCATCCACGCGTGCATTGACTGGGAGCATGTTGGTCTTTATCTTTTGATCATTGGATTTGTGACTGTGGCCACTTGGCGCTTGGATGTGAGAGGTGCATGATAGAACACCTTTGAAATCCTGCATGGGATTACATAAGGAAAAAATAGAAACAATTATTTGGGGGACCTGGGATTCGAACCCAGGTCCCAATGGTTACCAGCCAGCGCATCTTCCACTAGGCCATTACGCTGCAATTGATATTATAATACCAAGTAATTATTATATTAAAAAATCAAACAGTATGCTGCATAAAAGAAAACGCGCGCTTATTTTTGAATAGACCAACCATGTATCACCACGTACTCATCTTCCTCGTTTTCCTGTAAAAAACACAGTTAGATAGCGGGGGTTTTTAACCCCCACAACCTGCAACCACGAAAAATAGCGAATAGGCGTATGATTAATAGAAATATTTCGCGAGGGTGGTTTTGTGTTCGTCTTGTTCTGACGGTTTCAACCATATTCCTTAGGGGTTCTGATTTTTCCTGGATAATAAAGCCCCAATTTGAGAACTCATGAACCCTAAAATTCGTCAATGGCAATTTGTGATTCTGTATGTTATACTTCAATTAACCTGTACCATTAGCTTCATAGGAGTTCTAGCAATGCAAAACACACAAAAAATCACATTAATGATGCATGAATTAAGCTATTCGATTATGGACAAAATATGCAAACCGTGAAACTGTTCTTGGTGATTCTTTGAGCCTTAGCGTGTGGTTTTGATTGCAAAATGTTCCTCACACTCCCAGCAACGTGTTTGAATCCACAAAAGTCCTTGAATTGGCCTAAAACTTGGAAAACAATTTTCAAGTTTCTTGAGTTTTTTTCAAAGTTGCTATGGCTTTGTCTGCAGTGGTTTCACGTATGCATGATTAGGGTTAGCTCTTGTATATATAGTAGAGTGAAACTAGGTCAAATCTTTGCCAAGAAATCCATGGAATTGATGATTGTATATTTGATTGAAAATCAAATATTTTTGAATCTTTTTGATTGGAAAAACTTGCTAAATTTGGAGATTCCGCATCTTTGACTTGGTGCACAAAATTGCCAGCATATCTTGACCACATTTGCTTCACAAAAAGATTGAAAAATCAAATCTTTGTATTTTCCTACAATTTAAATTAATTAAATGAATTAATATTGATAAAAAATCCAATTAATTAATAAAAAATAAGAAAATAAATTCAATTAAGCTTGACGGGTCGTGCATAGGCCATGGATAAAGTCACAAGAAGAAATTTGAGGCCCATTAGCAAAAATAAGGTGTTTTGAGCAAAGTTGACTTTTGCAAATTCCTAAAAATTTCCCAACTTCTCCAATGCATAGCTTGCTTAATTTTGATCATATGAACATGTTCTTTGACATTTTCAAAAGGTATTGAAGTCCTCTAACCAATGCCTTTGGTCCTATGTCATTTGGATTTACCAATCTCAAGTTATGGTCTTTGACTTAAAGTGCATATTTGTTGAGTTTTGAATTTGACCTATAATGTAGAAATTGATAACTTTTTATGAGAGCATTTCTTGGACTTGGAGTGTGAAGATGAATTGTAGGAAATGTCATACCCTTAAAAATGAGCATTGTATGGGATTTTTCTGATGAACCATGAAAAAGTTATGCCCTGGTCAAGATACAGTTAACTTTTCTACTGTCCAAAAATAGTAACTTTTTGCACCTTGATGATTTTTTAGCTATTCTTGTGGAATCATGATCAAGACTTGATCAAATGATGATTGTGGACTCAAAATAAGATGTTGACCAAAAATTCTGACTTTTGACTGCAAAATGACCATTTTGCCCTTGTAGTTGACTGTGGATCAAATAGGGCTTTTGACTGTGCAAATTGGCATTGTGAGTCTTGAAACTTGGCATGTAGGTGCTTGAGGATGTATATGGACCTATGAGACTTGATTGAGCCATTGAAAACATCAAATTCCTTGAAAGAACCAAAACCCTAATTTCAGCTGTGTTAGGAGGTGGTTTGACTGTACAATCTCTTGAGCAATCTTGAACCATTTGAAGATGATTCTTAACAAATCTTGAAGAATATGGGAGGTAAAATTTTGGGGTACTACACTCATATCATAAAAGAAATATGCCTTCAAGAGTAGTTCTAGATCAGAAGAATAACTTCGAGTTTCAGATAGGATGTTGCCCATAATTCTGAAGACAAGATTTGGTTTTGACCACTCTGGTGTTCCTGAGCTACAACAACAAATTTGTTTCTAAACTACTCATCAATCAATCATCAGAAGAACGAAGACAAGTGATTAATCTCTTCCAAGCTTAATACTTTAGAATCATAAGTACATCGTCTGAAGATAAAGATAAATAAACTTAGTCAAGAAGAATACAATACACCACAAACTCCACTATCATGATATTGGTTGTACTATTCAAAGAAGTTGTTCTCCCAGTACCATATGCTAACCACTACAAGCAGCAGGTCTAGGTGTAGCGATAAATAATGCAGCGGTGTAAATTCGAGATCGAGCTATTAATTAACTCGACTCACAAAAGCAAGAGTCGCCACATCGCTTTATTATTTCCAAGAGAAAAGAGCGAAATAAAACCCTTAAATATGCAATGTAAAGTAATACTTAAAAGTAATGAAAATACAATGCGTTTTTTGAATGAGATTGAAAGTTCGGGGGTTGGTTATACAAAGGGAAGGTACTAGCACCAAATGCATCCGCGGTACTCCGCAAGAACCTTTTGAAATATATGTTTTTGTTGGTTAAAATTGTTTGTTTGGTCAAAATGGGTGTGGACGTGATTTTGAAGATACGACGACCTAGTGTCGAAGTTTTGACTTAAAAGGTGTGAGTTTTAAAATTGAGTCTTTTAGGAAAATTAACTTAAGATTAACAAAAATAGTAAAACAAAAATGAATGAAGGGATTCGCACAATCGTATAAGATATGTTCGATGACATGAAGTCAACAAATTTAAAACATTTCCCTTGGATTTTAGACGAATGAAAGATATAAAGATTAAATGATCGAGAATAAAGTTAATTAGAATGACAATTGAACAATAACAAAAATTGAATAAAAGACTAATTTATAATAGCATGTATTTTTTATCAATTAAATAACAAAAATTAAATAAAAGACTAATTTATAATAGCATGTCTTTTTTATCAATTAAATAAATAACAAAAATTAAATAAAAGACTAATTTTTAAAAGCATGTATTTTTTGTATTTATGATAAGAGATAAATAATAAAAATCTAAATTGATATTTTTTTTATGTATAGTAAAATGAATTAGGGAAAGAACAGTAAAGTTTGAAAAAGGGGAATAAGGGATCAAACCCGGGTCCCTTAGGTTGCAACAAACATGCCTCGCCACTAAACTACATTTTTATCTGTTATATCCATACTTTAATTGAAATAAAAGGGGATGATGATAATGTGATTGGGCCGACCCAGTTTGGGAAGAGACAAGGAAGGGTTTTGAAAACCATAAACAGGAGAGAGGCGCCGCTGGCTGTCTTTATTGGGAAGGGAACGTTACAGCCATTAATCATCATTATCTCAATAAAATTCAATTCAAAGGAAAATTGAAACAAATATTACGACCCTCTCTCTCTCTCTCTCACGTATCATCACCATCATCATCCTTAAGTTACTGCAACTCCAATCCAATCGCTCATCTCGCTCTCGCTCTCACAATTCATCACATCCTCATTGATTCCTTTCCATGATTCGAACTTCAAACCCTTCAAATTGGTTTTTACGGTCAAGATATGCAACGGAACTGAAGTCGACGGAGAGGAGACTTTTCGATTTTCGATTGGGCACGAGATCGGTTTCAGGTACGGTGTTCTCTAATCTCCGCATCTTTCCTCTTCTACTCCATATTTTATGCGATTCTGAATGTGTTGTTGATGGCACAAATTTGTTGATTCCGTGATATTGATAGTTGTAGGTGATTACGGGCAAAGCTTTTGTAGGGTCACATTGTGAAGGTAGAGGTAGCAGGTCTAGAATTTTTATTATATGTTTTTGTGGGCTTTGGTTTCCATTCCTTATTAGAAACAACTTTTTGAGGGCCATTTAATTGTTGAGACCGGTTATTATAATTAGAGGATGGGCGACTAACTGAAGGGCTTCCGAGAGTTACCGACGATCATGGATATGGTATCTCATTGCCATGATCTTTTGCCACTCTCGAGGATTTACCTTGAATCTTTACTTTCACAGAAGAGCTACCACTCTCAGAAGCAGCAATTAATTTGTTCTTGGCTGAGTTAACAGCATTTGATTCTCCATGAGAGTGTTGGCTTTCCACTTCGCGTCTAATGGCACCGACAACACCAGGAAGCCATTGAAGAAGTGAAAAACACAAGAAGGGGGGTTGAATTGTTGAAACTTGAAATCAAATGCAGACAACACGTTATTTTTATCCTGGTTCGTTTGATCTCAAACTACTCCAGTCCACCCGTCAAGGTGATTTCGCCTCTCTCCAACGAGGTCTTAATCCACTATATTCAACTGAATACAAATCTGCTTTAACAACTGCTAAAGCCTTCTTGAGTCTAAACCACATACCGGTTTCTCAAGGAAATTCTTTCTTACAGATAACTGAACAATTATGTGTGTTTGATGTTTTCTACAAAAACTATATATCACAACTGTGATAATACACAAATGAAGCTTATATGAAACTAGAATGCTAGAACTATAGAGTAAACAATTTGAGAGCTTTAGCAAACTGTATGAGTGAGGATGAAGATGATTTGCTTTAGGCGTGTAGAGTATTGTAGAGCATTAGTCGATTCACTTCTCACTGATTTGTTTAAATACTTCTTGGAATAAATACGTTGATGCCAATTATTCCATTTCAATGCTTATTATGTTCTTTCCATTTTGAGAAGATCTTGTCTTGGAATAAAGCCGTTGGTAATTAATCTTCCTTGAATGCAGTACCGTTGACTCTTCAGAATGTTCTGCTTGATTAAGATCAGAGTGTGTTGGCTTTAGCTTATTCTGATTGCTTCTGAGTGCTGATGACATTGTTAAGATCTTGATCAGAGTCAGAGTATGTTTAGCGCAGATTCTGTTCATCAGACTTCAGCATAGCATATGTTTGATCTTCTGGTTGACATCTTCTGATGCTGATGTTGATATTCTGATGCTGATTCCATCAGAGTTTCCTGTAAATAAACAGCATAATTTTAAGTAGCATCTATGTCAAGTATAAAACTCATAATTCATTTAATCTTGTATTTGTTATCATCAAAACTCTAACTTAGGGTTGTAGAATCAAACTATGTTCTAACAATCTCCCCCTTTTTGATGATGACAAAAACTAGATTTTTTCAATTAAAATAAAATGATGAAATTATCAGAGTTTAAGGATAACAAGGAAACAGTATCAGAGATAATCCATTAACGAGAAAAAGGTATCAGAGCTAAGAAGGTAAGGAATAATAGTATCAGAGTAATGATGAGAAGAACTCCCCCTGAGTTGATTATTTCCCTTTGATTCCTTAAGATCTTGAGTATCAGAGCTTTAGAACTTTATTGAACCTTTCTTTGAGCATCAGAATTTTGCTTCATCAAAGTTCTTCAGATTCTTGTACCTGTAAGCTTTTCAGAGCAAAGAAATTCAAATATAATGTTAGAATGTTTGAGACTGTTGTCTCAGTAAACCGTTATTGAAAAATATCATTCTTTCTCCCCCTTTTTGTCAGGGATTAAAAAGTATACATAATCAGAGTTAAAAAGATTAGAGAAAAACACGTTTGAATTGAAATATAAGCAATGATAGTTTAGAACAAGTAGAAATATTACAGACAAACATGAGAAAACAAGGAAAACATAAGAAAAATCTAAGAAGAAGGAGGAAGTCGTGTGAACAGAACTTCCAACATGCTCTTGATTTGTTCACTGGTTTCGTTCTGCTTGGCTACCATGCTTGCTATATAGTCAATCTTGAAAACGAAAGTAAGGGTAAACGTTGTGAATGTGTGTTAATGGTGTTTAAATAGATTTTGAAAAAGTTTTTGAAAACATAAACGCTTAAGAGAGAGAAATAAATAATGATTAATAGCATTAATTGATTGCTGATTTTAGGGGATTTAAGAGATACTTAAACGATTACCAGTGACATGTGTCTCAATGCAACCAATCAGCACTTTGCCTTTTCAGAAGCTTGAACGCGTGTTCAGCCTCAGGAAACAGCTGATGACTGGATGACACTTGTTGCTTTGAGTGAACATCACTTCTATCCTTGAACTAAAGAGCTCAGAGCTTCATGGATAGATCTGATACAATATGCATTTCTAAAATTCTGAACGAGGATTGATCAGAAGTTCACAGAGTAATAAACATAATTCTGAAGGTTAATATATAAAATTAAAACAGTTTTATTCTGGACAGAGCTTGATGCTGAGATGATTCAGAATGAAGTTGAACCTATCTTCAGAAAGTGGTTTTGTGAAGATATCAGCCCATTGATGGTCTGTATCAATAAATTTTAAGTTTAAGATTCCTTTCTGAATATAGTCCCTAATAAAATGATGTTTTATTTCTATATGCTTAGCCCTAGAATGCAAAATTGGATTTCTACTTAAGCAAATGGCAGACGTATTATCACAGAGTATAGGAATGTTACTCTCATAAATCTGGAAGTCCTCAAGTTGACTTTTCATCCAGAGCATTTATGTGCTGCATCCAGCTGCTGCTATGTATTCAGCTTCTGCTGTTGATAGAGCAATGGTGGATTGTCTTTTGCTGGACCACGAAATAAGATTTTCTCCCAGAAACTGGCAGCTTCCAGAAGTGCTTTTGCATTCAACTCTGTCTCCAGCAAAGTTAGCATCACAGTAACCTACTAAGCTGTAATCACTAGATTTTCTATAAAACAAACCCAGATTAGTAGTACCTTTCAGATACTTGAAAATTCGCTTAACAGCTGTTAAGTGAGATTCTCTAGGATCTGATTGGAATCTTGCACAAATGCATACACTGAATAAGATATCAGGCCTTGAGGCTGTCAGATAAAAAAGAGAACCAATCATACCTCTGTAGACTTTCTATTCTACCTTTTTGCTTACCTCTTCTCTTTCCAGAATGCACGTGGGATGCATTGGAATCTTTGATGGCTTACATTCTGAGAGATCAAATTTCTTCAGAAGTTCTCTGACATATTTGCTCTGATGAATGTAAGTTCCTTCTGGGGTTTTATTGATCTGAATTCCCAGAAAGAATTTTAGTTCTCCCATTAGGCTCATCTCAAATTCTGCCTGCATACACTTAGCAAATTTTCTTCCCAGAGAAGGATTAGTAGATCCAAATACTATATCATCAACATAAATCTGGCAGACTAAGATGTCATTCTTAACTGTCTTACAGAATAAGGTTGTGTCCACCTTCCCTCTGGTGAATTCCTTTTCTAACAGGAAGTTACTTAGTCTTTCATACCAAGCTCTGGGAGCTTGTTTCAGACCATACAGTGACTTCTTCAGTTTGAAAACATATTCTGGATTTTTTGAACTTTCAAAACCAGGGGGTTGGTGCACATATACCTCTTCTTCTATATAGCCATTTAAGAATGCACTCTTGACATCCATCTGATACAGAGTGATGCCTTTATTAACATCAAAAGAAATTAAAAGTCTGATAGATTCTAACCTGGCGACTGGAGCAAAGGTTTCTGTATAGTATATCCCCTCTTGCTGACTATAACCTTGTGCTACCAATCGTGCCTTGTTTCTGATGACTTCACCTTGTTCATTCAGTTTGTTTCTAAACACCCATTTTGTTCCAATGATGTTGAATCCTTTTTGTTTAGGAACAAGATCCCATACGTCATTCCTTGTGAATTGATTCAGCTCCTCTTGCATTGCTAGAATCCAGTCATTGTCCAGAAGTGCTTCATCGATTGAAGATGGTTCAATCATAGAAACAAGTCCCATGAGGGATTCTTCAGAGTTTCTGAAGCTGACTCTTGTTCTGATTGGATCTTCCTTTCTTCCTAAGATTGTTTCTTCTGGATGATACATGCTGCTTCTAGATGGTCTTTTCTGAGGTTGATCAACAGAAGATGCTGGATTGCTTGCAGTGCCTCTTTCTGATGTTGAGGGAGTGTCTCTGTTAAGAGCTTCTGATGACTTGTCTTCAAAACCTGTGAATTCAACTTCCATACCTGCAAGTAATTCATTCTGCTTTGACTTTTGAGAGTCAAGCTTGTCATCAAAACGAACACTGATTGATTCTTCCACAATCTGTGTTTCTGTATTGTATACTCCGTACCCTCTTGAGCGTTCAGAGTATCCTAACATAATACACTTCTGTGCTTTTGAGTCAAACTTGTTCAAATAATTTTTAGTATTCAAAATAAAACAAGTACATCCAAATGGATGAAAATATGAAATGTTGGGCTTTCTGTTCTTCCACAATTCATATGGAGTCTTTTCCAGAATAAGTCTTATGGAGATTCTATTCTGAATGTAGCACGCTGTGTTTATTGCCTCTGCCCAGAAGATCTTAGCAACGTTAGTCTCGTTGATCATGGTTCTGGCCATTTCTTGCAATGTTCTGTTCTTTCGTTCTACAACTCCATTTTGCTGGGGAGTTCTAGGACAAGAGAAATCATGCAGAATGCCTTTGTCATTAAAAAATGATTCAAAATCTTTATTTTCAAACTCTCCACCATGATCACTTCTGACTTTGACGATTCTAAGATCCTTTTCATTCTAAACTTGGTTACAGAAGGTAACAAACACAGAGTGTGACTCGTCCTTGTGTCTTAAGAACTTTACCCATGTCCATCTGCTATAGTCATCTACGATTACTAACCCATACTTCTTGCCACTGACTGAAGCAGTTTTAACTGGTCCAAATAAGTCAATGTGCAGAAGTTCTAATGGCTTAGAGGTGGAAACAACGTTTTTAGATTTAAAAGCAGGTTTTGCAAACTTGCCTTTCTGACATGCTTCACACAGAGTATCTGAATTGAACTTCAGGTTAGGAAGTCCTCTGACCAGATTGAGTTTGTTAATCTGAGATATTCTTCTCATACTAACATGCCCCAATCTTCTGTGCCAGAT